GACAATACAGTCAGGCTAAATTATGGTATGGACACAAAACTTCAAAGAGATAATAGCAAGCAGTACAAGGGGCAGAGTATGAAGAAGTGACAAGGTTAATCAAACAGTTACATACCACGAGTAAAGAGCACGCAACTGTCCAAATTAGAATCAATACCATCGTAGAGGAGGCAAACTAAGCATCCTCATTGTTCATCGTACCAATTTCAATAATTAGTAAGATTTTCACTGTGAATCTATATGATTATAGTTAGTATGTCATAAAGTGGTCAATCCGTGCAGTTTAACTTCATATTTTATTATGTTTTATTTAACTTATTTTGTATTCTAAATTATTTATATTCTATTCTTCGCTCGGTCGGTCAGCGTTAAGTTTGAGGACTCGCAACGCTAAAACCCGTGATTCGAATCCGCTTAACGGACACAGTTAAAATAGCCCATTGTGTAACTTTGCACTTAAAACACACAAAAAATATAGAATATTTATTATTTTCATCATATATGTGTGTTTGAATTAATTTTAATTGTAATTTCGTTTCATTCTATTTTCGCTATTATAGTAATCGTATTGGGAGTGTCTTTGATCTGTATCGTGAATTTTGGATTTTATTGGATTCTGATGTTGTGCAGCTACATGGGTACTTTGGATTTTTTTTTTCTGTTTTTAACTGGCTTTTCATTGAAAAATTTCAGCATTGGTTAATCATTGGTAATCCAGAATTTTAAACTTATCGTAAGGTTGAACAATTCAACTTGCAACCAAAAGACGTGAAATCTCACTCCTAGTACGCCTAGTTCGTGTCCTTTAGTTATTTCGCCACCTTAAACTGTCGACGGATAAGTATTTCTTGCTCACTTACTCAACTTGTTCGAGATTGAAAAGAAACCTGCTCTATTATTACTATCATAGTTCCGGCTACAAAGTGAAAGAATTAGCTAGGAGGCTAGTTCTGTAACCTTTCCCCTTTACTGTTTTGATTTCCGATGTCACATGGTAATCAGTCATATGGTAATCATTCATACTATTTTTACTCTTTTAACGTCGGCGACAAACAGAAATACCTGTTGAATGACTTTAAACTGTCAGGTTTTATAGGGCCGCGATTCTTTACAGTAAGTGTCTATGACTTGTTGGCGATAAATTTCAACAATAAACGGACAGCACACGATCCGCTTGTTTTAAAATAATATATTCAACACAAGTCAAACGTAAGTACACAGTTTCGTTACACTATTGATTATCATAGTTGTATTCACAGCTTTAAGTAATTGTCTCTTTTTCGTCAAAGTTGGGTTCAATTACTTTAGAACACCCTTTGACAAGACAAATTATTCTCCTCTATCTATGTTATTACAATACAAGCAGTGAAAATCGATTTAGAAATCGCCCATTACGACTAAACTCACACGCAGTCTAATTCACATTTACTTTCACTTTCACTAAGTTAACTTTTCTTAACTTGGTCACTTATATATATATATATGTATTGCCAAACTGAGACCTAGAACTGTCTACACACTACGCGATTATCTAACAATACTTAGTGAATCAACGAGAAAAACTTAGTGGGTTTGAGTAACGCCAAAGACTGGCATGTATGTTTTTTTACAATGTAATGGAAAAGTTGCATACCACTATAATATTTCCAAGTCCCGCCCTTTTTATGCTTTTTTTAATGATGGCTGTATTTCACTACTTCCCCTTTTCTCTCCCCACTATAATATTTCCAAGTCCGGCTTTTTTATGCTTTTTCTAATGATGGCTGTGGTTTAATTATTATTCTTTTTTTTTCTCATTTGTTATAAACGTTATTGAAATGTCATAAACCTTGTGGTATTGATCCTATTGTAACATTATACCAAAGGTGCTCATTTCGAATAGTTGTAACCTTTGGACTTAGCCATGGTGGTGAGTCACTTTTGTATCACAGTATAATCTTGCGTAGCCACTGCATGGATGGGTATTTATATCCATATAATAAGTTAGGTGATAGTCGTAGTAGCTCTGAGAACAGATTGGTTCTCTTCACCAGGTTATTTACTCCACATTATACAGTAAAAATCAGTGTAATTCAATTCATAAAGTCTATTATTACCACTAGTATGTTTCTTGTAAATCCATGACATTAGAAATATAAGAACGACGTTCAAATTATGAACTGTCGTGATCTATTTAGTTCATAGTATTAAAGATGCACCTCTGAAGGATACTATTCACGAATACTTTAAGAAAATAAAAATATTCTTATGTCAACGATGATTAAAGTAATGTTAAGCAGAATGCTCATTAATATTACTTTCAATTATCAATGATAAGAGTAGGATTATTGTATTCAGAGAAATGTAATATTATACCAGTCCTAAAATAAAGAATAAAGTACTATGAGTTCGTTGCCTTCAAAGCAGTTAAAACTGTGTATTTGTGGAGTTCTTCACATGGAAACATTCATACATCATGTTATAATTATAACACAAAACGCTATCTGCAGACGTTAATAAAGTGGGGGTAATAAAATAGATATTCTATACTTACTCATGATATCCAATTCATAAAAACTAAACTCAATTTGGACGGATAACCATTACTAGCATTAAATGAATAATATACACTTTCTGGGAAATACGGCAGGAAAATGAAACATAAGAAAGAACAAGGGGGCAGAAGGTCATTAGGCTCATTGCGGTCACTTTCTCACTCACCATAACAAGCAACTAAAACAGCAGAAGGAAATTAAAATGTAGCATTTCAAGCCAATAATTATTCAAATAATTTAAAGTAACAATGTACATAAATAATTTAAAGTAACAATGCACACAGATAATTTAAAGTAACAATGTGTATAAATAATTTAAAGAAACAATATACACAAATAATTTAAAGTAACAATGCACATAAATAATTTAAAGTAACAATGTACACAAATAATTTAAAGTAACAGTGCACACAAATAATTTAAAGTAACAATGCACACAAATAATTTAAAGTAACAATGTATACAAATAAGTTAAAAAAACAATGCACACAAATAATTTAAAGTAACAATGGACACAAATAATTTAAAGTAACAATGCACACAGACAATTTAAAGTAACAATGTATACAAATAAGTTAAAAAACAATGCACACAAATAATTTAAAGTAACACTATACACAAATAATGTACACGAAGGACTATTTGCTCTCTGCCCACTGCAGGGATAGAATCTCAAGTTTTAGGTTTTATAGCTTCTCAAACTAGGAACTAAAACACTATTGAAAATTATTTTACATTCCATCATCTTTCTTTCCTCGAAAGCATCTTTTAAAGAATCAAAATTTAATTTGATTTTATTTAAGTAACATAAGAATAAATACAAACACTTCAAACGAGCCTAGAAGTCTCGAGAAATGCGGCTAATAGAGAACTAAAAGTGTTATGTTAGAAAGGCTACGCTTATAGAGAAATCAAGATGATAAAAAATACGAATTAGGGTGAACAAAATCAGCTATATACGATTGATAGAAGACAAAAATAAAAAAAATATTTCCCAATACAATTACTGTCTGAAACATTTACAACCAGTTAAACTCTTCATCTTGTAGTCGCTGTAATGTTAATTAAATTTTACATAAATTAGAAAGAAAAAAAAAGTACTTGCGTTTTGCCGCAACGCGCGTTAAGTGATGTATATATATATATATATATATATATTATTATTCATTCAATATGAGTACGCTAGTATATCCGCTCTTTCGTACCTTGCACTGGAAGTGACTTAGACACGAGAAGAAACTCTTACAAAAAACATGTTATATTCTATATGAAGTTAAAACCAACAAGGTTGGATTTTCCTGAAATGTTTCTAAATAATTTCGTTTCAGGCAAATTGCGCTAAAACCAAAGACGTGTTTTGGCACAAGGAAAAGTAAACGCTTTTTCAGTTGTTTCAGTTTTGATAACACAATACCTTCATTACCGTAGTTAAAAGCCCTGATGACGTAGCTGTGTTATCGAAACTAGTCGGCTGAAACAACTTATTAAGAGTTTATCTGTCATTGAGCCAAAAAAAACGTCGTATTAATTTCTGTAGTGCATATTGGTGTACAGAAGACATTAATACTAGAAATGTACGACCTTATAACACCAAAATGTTTTTATTTAATTTAATTAGCTTTAGAGCTTCTTCAGGAGTGTTCATTAAAATACAAACCAAAACTGACAATACACGTTTAGTTTCTGATAAAGGAAATGACCACATTGTACGGGCATATTTATCAACATTTTCAGAGAATTCAGACGACTAAAATGCTCAGAAGATCTTAGTTTTCAGATCCACCTTTTGTAATATTACACATAATCAAAGCTATTTTCCCTCTACGTCATCGGAGTCACATGATCAGTGCATTTGAAACAGGTTTCTGGGTGACATTTTTAACATATGTCTGATTCTAACTGTTTACATGTCCGAGCCGAATCTTTTTGTGTGAAACTATATCCAATTAAAATACAATATCAAATACTTTATACAAGATAATGCTTGAAGATTTTATCTTCAAGAAAGTATCACGGTGGTGTTAATAAAGGTAAGAGTTTGATTTATTAGTTCCTACTTTAAAAGATGTTGTCAGAGCACCAACGACTCGAAAGAATTATGCTATATAAATTACTCTGATCGCGTCAAAATAAATACGCTGTACAGTAATGTTAACATCTTTCCACAGGATCTTTCCATGCGTCGTATAATTATAATTTTTCACTGTTTTGAACTCGTTTCACGTTTAAAGGAATAACAGAAGCGTTTATACAACATATAAATCTAGTAACTAATCTAAATATTTTAAACTACAAAAGATACTTGTAGATAAGAGACTTGTTTTTTGTTTTTTTTACATTAGCAAATAAGAATGTATGATATACTGAAACACATTTTTCTTACTACGTTCATTACCTTATAGAATTTCAGTTTAATTAAAAATAATAATCTTGGTTTTAGTTTTTAAATAGATATAAATATTATACCTTTATTTAGCTCCTTATCTCTGTATTGTAAGTAACACAGGTCTTTCATGGAGAGCGTACGTGTTCCATTCTGATCAGTAGAATTGGTCCATCCGTTATGATGAAAAGGTTCTTCGTTCTCTTCTTTGGCTTGTAACTCTTTATCGTCATGGTAATTACTGGTAATATTGGTACTTAAAGGGGAATTCGACCAACCTGTTCTCATGATTTATATACAAACTTAAGAAACTTATTGAATTACTGAATTTTAGCGCATATCAAGAAAAAGTATCTACTCTTTGCTGTTACTTTACAACCTGTTACTTTTAACAATACTTAAATTTTCTCAAAACGACTACGACAAGATTTGAATGTCGACAATAACCTTCGGGTTTCAAGATAAATAAACTAGTCCACGAATTTCCCAGCTATTCATTCCAGAAGTCAGTTCCGAGACATACGACGTCATTTTTGAAACAGCCAATCAGAAGTACATTAGCTGTATATCAACTGACTCGATCTCTTTGAACAGAACTGTTTGCAGGATATAATTTTATAAGTATGTATTTCATTTACACAAGATATCGGATAAATATAATTAAAGATCTACCACTAAGGCGTATACAGTTTTCAGCTAATAAAGCCTTAATTAAGAATATCAATATATGTTTCATTTTAACGGCTTTTCTAAGCTTAACATGTGAAAGTGCTCCACAGTATTGAAGCTTTACAGCATATAAGTTTCGATTAGTTTACTAATAAACAGAAAAAAAACAAGGATTAATGAAAAGTGCACTTTTGAAATTATCCTTAATAAAAACATATTTATTTAAATAATAAAGCAGTTAATTAGTAAAACAAAATTAAATGAGAACATTTCTATCGTTAATAAAAGTTGTTTTGTTTGAACAATAAAAGAGTAATTAGCATAAAACATACATGTTTTTCAAATAGTATTTGTAGAAATGTTTTGCTTCAACAATAAATCAGTGAAATAATAAAAAATAATGAAATCATTTCAAAAATTATTTTTCTTAATAATATACGCCCCCCCCCCCAGTGGCACAGCGGTAT